AGAGGAGATTGCTGCCACCGAACATCAAAATTCACTTAAGCTCTCGGCAGCCCTCACTGACCACATAATAGCCCAGAATGCAACAGGGGAGGTGGATACCAGTGAAGTAAATAAGATTCGTAGGTCCATTATGACAGATCGACAGCACTGCCAAAATGATAAGTTGCAGCAACTGTTGCTGCAGATACCAGAAAATTTGAAAAAAAAGTAGCTATAGCGCAGGAGGTGGGCGCCTCGAACTGGTTAACTACGTAACCGATAAGGGCAAATGGTTTCAGTCTTAATAAACAAGAATTTACAGATGCCATTGCTCTAAGGTACGGTCGGCCAGTAGAAGGTTTGCCCTCCCAATGCGTGTGTGGCTCTTCCTATGATGGCGATCACGCCATGGTGTGCAAGAAAGGGGGCTTCATATGCATGAGGCATGACGAGGTAAGGGACCTCACCGCAAATATGTTGAAGGAAATCTGCCGGGATGTCATGGTAGAACCGATCCTCCTTCCATTGGATGGTGAGATCTTCCAACACAGGACTTCAAACACATCTAACGAAGCCCGTGTGGACGTCAGTGCTCGAGGATTCTGGACGCGGGGACAGCAAGCTTTCCTACACATCAGGATTTTTGATCCCATGGCCGCATGTCACAGTAACCTAGCTCTCGATGCTGCACATAGGAGGAATGAGAACGACAAGAGAAGGGCATATGGTGAGAGAATTCAAAACGTTGATCAAGGCAGCTTCACTCCTCTAGTGTTCACAACCTCTGGTGGGATGGGACCAAGTGCAAGCTGTTTCTACGCCAGACTCGAGGAGGTGATCTCCGAACAAAAGCAGCAGCCCAGAAGTTACGTTACAGCCTGGATGAGATGTCGACTGTCTTTCTCTCTCCTTCGGTCGGCTTTGCTCTGCCTCAGGGGAACGAGAGCTTCTGCCCCAATTCCGACAACTGCCGCAGATATTGACTATGAGGCTACAGTCACTGAATGCCACATAGATCTGCGGCTCAACTAATTTAACACAGATAGGATAGATACTTATGTATTAGGATATTTAATATTAAGGTAATAAAATGGTGGCGAAGGTGTGGCTATTGGGGGAGTCTGGAGGCCACGTGGTACAACAGAGTAGTAGTAATAGTAGTATAACAGAGCAGTAGTAACAGTAGTACAACAGGGTATTAGTAACAGTAGTACAACAAAGTAGTAGTAACAGTGGTACAACAGAGCAGTAGTAACAGTAGTACAACAGAGTAGTAGTAACAGTAGTACAACAGAGCAGTAGTAACAGTGGTACAACAGAGTAGTAGTAATAGTAGTATAACAGAGCAGTAGTAACAGTAGTACAACAGGGTATTAGTAATAGTAATTATAACAGAACAGTAGTAACAGTAGTGCAACAGAGCAGTAGTAACAGTAGTACAACAGAATAGTAGTAATAGTAGTATAACAGAGCAGTAGTAAGAGTAGTACAACAGATGAGTAGCAATAGTAGTACAACAGAGCAGTAGTAACAGTAGTACAACAGAGTAGTAGTAACTGTAGTACAACAGAACAGTAGTAACAGTGGTACAACAGAGTAGTAGTAATAGTAGTATAACAGAGCAGTAGTAACAGTAGTACAACAGGGTATTAGTAATAGTAATTATAACAGAACAGTAGTAACAGTAGTGCAACAGAGCAGTAGTAACAGTAGTACAACAGAATAGTAGTAATAGTAGTATAACAGAGCAGTAGTAAGAGTAGTACAACAGATGAGTAGCAATAGTAGTACAACAGAGCAGTAGTAACAGTAGTGCAACAGAGTAGTAATAACAGTAGTATAGCAGAGCAGTAGTAACAGCAGTACAACAGAGTAGTAGTAACAGTAGTTTAACAGAGCAGTAGTAACAGTAGTACAACAGAGGAGTAGTAACATTAGTAGGGCGCCTCGAACTGGTTAACTACGTTACCGATAAGGGCAAATGGTTTCAGTCTCAATAAACAAGAATTTACAGATGCCAACGCTCTAAAATACGGTAGGCCAGTAGAAGGTTTGCCCTCGCATTTCGTGTGTGGCTCCTCCTATGACGTCGATTAGGCCATGTTGTACAAGAAAGGGGGCTTCATGTGCATGAGGCATGACGAAGTAAGGGACCTCACAGCAAATATGTTGAAGGAAATCTGCTGTGATGTCATGGTTATAACCGACCCTCCTTCCATTGGATGGCGAGACCTTCCAACATAGGACTTCAAACACCTCCAACGAAACCCGTGTTGACTTCAGTGCTCGAGGATTCTGGACGCAGGGACAGCGAGACTTCTTCGACATCAGGATTTTTTATCCCATGGCCGCATGTCACCATAACTGAGCTCTAGATGCTGCACACAGGAGGAACGAGAACGAAAGGACAAGGGCATACGGGGAGAGAATTCAGAATGTAGATCAAGGCAGCTTCGCTCCTCTAGTGTTCACAACCTCTGGTGGGATGGGACCAAGTGCAAGATGTTTCTACGCCAGACTTGCGGAGGTGATCTCCGAACAGAAGCAGCAGCCCAGAAGTTATGTTACAGCCTGGATGAGATGTCGACTGCCCTTTTCTCTCCTTCGGTCGGCTTTGCTCTGCCTCAGGGGAACGAGAGCTTCTGCTTCAAAGTTGACAACAGCTGCAGATATTGACTATGAGGCTACAGTCACTGAATGCCGCATAGATCTGCGGCTCAACTAATTCAACACAGCTAGGATAGCTACTTATGTATTAGGATATTAAGGTAATGAAATGGCAGTGAAGGTGTGGCTATTGGGGGAGGCTGGAGGCCACTTACAATAGAGTAGTAGTAATAGTAGTACAACAGAGCAGTAGTAAGAGTTGTACAACAGAGCAGTAGTAACATTAGTACAACAGAGTAGTAGCAATAGTAGTACAACAGAACAATAGTAATAATAGTACAACAGAGTAGTAGCAATAGTAGTACAACAGAGCAGTAGTAAGAGTTGTACAACAGAGCAGTAGTAACATTAGTACAACAGAGTAGTAGCAATAGTAGTACAACAGAACAATAGTAATAATAGTACAACAGAGTAGTAGCAATAGTAGTACAACAGAGCAGTAGTAACAGTACAACAACAGAGCAGTAGTAACATTAGTACAATAAAGCAGTAGTAACAGTAGTACAACAGAACAGTAGTAATAGTAGTACAACAGAGTAGTAGCAATAGTAGTACAACAGAGCAGTAGTAACAGTAATACAACAGAGTAGTATTAATAGTAGTACAACAGCACAATAGTAACAGTAGTACAACAGAGTAGTAGTAACAGTAGTACAACAGAGTAGTAGTAATTGTAGTACCCAGCAGTAATTGGGAACCTGGATGTTAATCGACTTGCTTATCATGTTCCTGGGTTCTCACCCTGGGGGCCATGGCTTCCAAGGAGACCACGACACTACATCCTTGACCACTGGAGGGTCAAGACTTACCAGGCACTTCTGTGCAGCGGCCCCTTTGGCCAATGTTCGGCCCATTCCCCAAATCCCTCTCCCAGACCATCCTCACCTCCGGGATATCAACATAATCAAAAGTGACAATTTCGTTTTGGAATGAAGTGGGATCATTGTTGAACAGTGATGAACAGTGCTTAAGCCAGTGAATTCAGCACTAGACAGTACCAGTGAGAGCCGTGACCCACCAGTGAGATAAGCACCCCTGGGAACCATTTTCTGACCAGACGGTGTTAATCCTTCCACCCTGGGAACAACAGTGGGTCGGCTTTACACCTGACTACGAGATAACACAACACCACCGAGCAGAGAGAGTGAGGGACTGTGACACCACCCCACACCACCCGGTGTCCCCATGACTACGTGAGGTCCTTCATATCAACACCCGAGGACGAGTCACTATACCTCGTGAACACCACACCACCCGGTGTCTCCATGACACCGTGAGGCCCTTCATATCAACACCTATGGACGAGTTACGGCACCACGTGAACACCACTCCACCCGGTGTCTCCATGACCCCGTGAGGTCCTTCATATTAACACCCGAGGACGAGTTACTGAACTACGAGGCCTACGTGACCTCACACAGCATGACAAAAGACCAGCCCATGCCATCAGCTGCAAACTATAATAATTTGTATGTTCAATTCATGTTCCGGGGCGCTGGTGGTAGAGCGGTACCGCTCTTGCCTTGCAAGCGAGATGTCACGGGTTCGATTCCCTAGCCTCCCTTGGTCCCTGTTCAACTAGCAGTAAAGTAAATCGAAAAGTTGCGAATTCGTATTCAGGGAAAGTTGTTGGAGCTTCCAATAACTTGCTGACAAAAACCTATGACTCTTCAGGCTTCTATGCCCTTGACAAAAAAACTAGGACCCTTCAGGCTTCTACGCCCTTAACTCATGAGACATAAAGGCAAGCATGAACTTAGCATGCTTCCCAGTTGGGCGCTGTAGGCGCTTCACCTTGCACAGGATGTAGGGGGGTGTCAAAAAAAAAATTCATGTTCCTTCTCCTTTCAGTAATGAAAGCTTTAGTTAAACGACCCACCCACCCATGTCCTTTTAAGTAATAGGTCAGTATTGTTTAATGTATATTTTCAGCCTTCGGGCTGCAGAATGTTTTCAATAAACCGTTAATTATTATTATTATTATTATTATTATTATTATTATTATTATTATTATTATTATTATTATTATTATTATTATTATTATTATTATTATTATTATTATTATTATTATTATTATTATTACTATTATTATTATTATTATTATTATTAAGATTTCAGGGGACGGGGGGGGGGGGGCGGTGGGCTGTTATAAGCTGTAAATGCTGGTATCGAAATCAGGATTCCAGAAGCGTGTCAAGGGAGTATATCCAAATGCCAAGGGGGTTCATTGTATGATCCATCGTTTTGTAATGGTGTCGAAAACCCTCCCTGGTGCACTTTGCAACATCTTGGAGGTAGTCACCAAATATGTCGACTTTGTGAAAGCAGGAGATCTGAACTCTCGCCTTTTCTAGAACCTCTGTAGAGTCATGGATTCAGACCATGAAACCATCCTCTTTTACTCCAAAGTGCCCTGGCTTTCCAAGGGTAATGTTGTGAATCGTGCGTTTGAACTTCGGGGAGAGCTTAAGTTATTCCTGAAAGTGCATGGGAAGGATGATCTCTTCAATCACTTCAATGAGGTGTTGTGGGAGCCACGTCTTGCATACCTAGCAGATATATTTGAGCAGCTAAACAGGCTGAATTACAAGCTACAGGGCAAGGAAAGAAATGTGTTTCACCTCATGGATTGTCTTCGTGCATTTCTTGTCAAGTTCCAGAACTGGCAAAGGAAAGTCAATGCAGGAAATGTTGCCATGTTTGAGAATCTTTCAACTGTTCTTGATGAGACTGAAAAAGGTCATCTGTTTGACCCATCACTCAAAACTGAAATCACTCAGCTCCTGAAATCCTTGGAAAGCGAGCTCAAAAGAATTGTTAAGGAATCTTTTCTCTGGCACTCTTGATACTGCTACAATTCCCATTGATGTTCAAGACGAATTCCTTGATCTCAAGAACGATTCTGCTGCAAAAGTCCTATATGAAGAAAAATCCCTGAATGTATTCTGGTGCTCAATGTATCAGTCGTATCCAAAAGTTAGCTAGATCTTACTTCGAGTCCTCTTGCCATTTTATACTACTTACTTATGCGAGTCTGGTTTCTACACCCTTCTACATTAAAGAGTAAAAGCCGGAACCGATTGGATGTGAACATGGACATGAGATGTGCTTTGTTAGTGATGCAACCTCGAACCAATCGCCTGACTGAAAGAAAATAATGTCAGCCTTTTCAATGAGCTGTGACAAAATATGCATAAGTCATAGGAACTTTTTCCAAACCAAATTCAAATTTGTTGTGAGGCTATTCTAGTCACTCGAGTCTAGTGACAAGTTTTATGTAAATTATGTAGGTTTGTCAAAATATATGATAATGATAATTGTCAACAATAAAAAAAAAATAAAAGGAGGGTATTCTCTTCATCTGATTAGAACAGTTTATTTTTTTCATTATTTGTGGAGGGTTTGGGAGAAAACTGAAGGGATGCCTAGAGGATTTTTGAGAGTTCCTCAGGGTGGAATGGAATGAAAAAGGCTAAGAACCATTGGGTTAGCCAGTGCAGTTGGCGAGTTGTCCTGTATTCTCAGATTATTCCTTGACATTGGGTCATGCAACTCGTTAACTTAGGGTGTGGTTGTTGTGTAGGCGACAGCTCCTACAACTTAAATAAATTCACGCTTAGGTGGCCGTAGGGCCAGCCACCCTCGAACACGAGGGAGAACCATTATTATTTATAGAAGTACTATAGTGCACAAAAGTCGTGTCCACTGCCCAGCCAGTGAGGTTTCGAATAGCCTTGAGTCTAAAGTTTCGAAACAGCTGGGGGAAATGCTATGGTCGGCCAACAGATGTCGCCCATTTGATTTTGATTTTGCCGCTTACAGCGGCTACTTTATTGTGCACCCCACACTCATCCTGTGAGCGGTAGCGCAAAAGGATTACAGAGTAGGGTTTACAAAGGGTCATAATAATTAACCCCCGTTGTCAGGATATTATGGCACTGAATGTTATACAGTGTTTCATTTCATTATTTGTTTAGTTCTATACATAAAGGGTAACTTATTCACAAATGCGTGAGTACAGGCGTGTGAGGCAGTATGTCTGGCCTCACACTTTGTTATTCACATTTACGTGAGAGGTATTCAAGCACATTGCGTATTTGGTTCTGTACATGAGAATTGATATAGTTACTAAGTGCAAAAAAGTGGATACAATCTTAATATGTCGGCTATCTTGCCATAAGAGTGTGTGTGTGTGGGAAATAAAAGACGTGGGGGTTAGGCTAGTAACAGGTTGTGTGTAGGTGGAGCATAACATCGTGAATTCCACACACACTGATAACAATAAGAATGTCATGAAGATAGTTAATATTATTAAGCATGGTGAGAGATGTGTAACGGGTAAATAAAAGCACTACAATGACCATATCTCTGCCGTTCATGGCTACGACGGTGAGACTGATGGGCACACCAGTAATTAATTCTCCGTGACTACCAGTAATGGTAGTCACGGAGAATACACAAGTTGTTTCCTCGATTGGCGCCACCCACACCAGGGGAAGGAGATGATGTCGAACACTGAAACATGCCGAGGTCTCATTCCTACCATCGTCGTCACCAACAGGTAAGTCACATTAAATTGTCAGCATACCTCATGTCGTCCTTATACTATTGCAGGGTGTTCCAATGGAACATAACTATATTACACT